TGTAGCTGGAGAGTATGGGAGACAGAAGGAGAGCAGCTGTGACCACTGGCTGCTTGCTGCTTTTGCCTGTTGTGGACTGTTTTTCCCTCGGCCATGCCACCCGCCTTGGAGCCAGCCGATTGTGGACTTTGAGCTGAGGTGGACCTTTCTTCTTTTAATTTTGGGTGTTGGGTATTTTGTCTCAGCAATGAGAGAAGTAAATAAGACAGCAGCGCACGGAGATGGAAGGAGTCTTCATCTTCATCCCTGGACCACTGTTAGAGGAGATCCACTTGCTGCTCAGGAAAACCATTATGTGTGGGAGAAGTAAATTGATGTAGATGTTAAACTTTTATATTTTCTTTGATATGTTTATTGCAGTATCTGGCATTGTGTATGCTGACTCAAAAATACACTATGTTTAAACAAAGGAAGACTCAATCTCCTAAAGGTATTAATACTCTGCAAGTTGATCTACAGATTTACTGTACTTCCAGGAGAAATTCAACTGGAGCTTTTCATGAATCTTGGCAAGCTGATAGTGAAATTTATGTAGAATAACAAGGGTCCAAAAATAGCTGAGATATTTCTGAAGATATTTCTCCTTATTAAGGAGAACATGGTGGAAGGAAGTTTCTGTCTCAGATGTGACAGCTGATTACAGTGTTATAGCTCAAACTAACTACTAATGGAGGAAATAAAAGTTAAAATCACAGTGATTTCATATTTACAGATGGCTAAAAGTAAAAAAGTTTATATTACCAAATAATTGTCAGGATGTACGACAAGTACAGCTCTTGTACACTGTTGGTGAAAGGGAAGGGACTATGGAACAATCCCTTTGGAAAATAAGTTGGCAATATATAGTAAAGTTGAGCATGCCACATCTTTGAGTCAGTGTTTGATATCTTAGGTCCATTAGATAACATGGAAAATGATGTGAATGGAAGCATTTTGTAATGGCGCAAATGGAAAACAACATACATGTCTAACTGGAGCAGAATGGCTAAAAAAATCATGGTGTGTTAATTAAATGGTGTGATATAACAGTGAAAATAAATGGATTTTGGTGTGGATTAAATTCACTTGAATGAAAAAGGCAATTTCTCAAACTATACCATGATGTCTACCAAAAGTTTTAAAAATAAAAACTATATTATAGTCAGGAATATTAAATATGTGGTAAAATTAGAAATGAGTGCAAGGAAATGATAAATACAAATGTCGGGGTGGTGGTGACCTCTTTGTATTGGGCAAGAAGACCGCCTGAGAGGAGTAGAGAGCTTTTGTCTAAGCTCTAGGTTGGTTTTCTTATGGTTATTTAACTGGTGGGACTCCAGGAAAGTTTTTATTTTCATGCCTTATAATTTGTACATTTGTCTCCTTTTATATGTAACAAGTGTTCCCAGCTTAAAAAATAAAAATAATAATCTGTTTCAAATATATTCTGTGGGAAAGCCATTATCAGCTGTATTTATAATGTCACGGCTAAACTTACATGCTGAACACATGCTGCTGTTTCTCCCTTAAGTATCTATTAGCTCCTCATCACCTTTCCTGTAGCAAGATGGGGCCTTTGAAGCCCTGATGCAAGTCTTCATGACTTCCTTGGATCTCACTATATTTTACTGAAACTGATATTAATAGCTATCTCTTCACTTTTTTCACCTAACACAAGTTGAACTCTTGCTGCGTTACAAATACAAAGTGAATAGATAGACTGTCTTCTCTCAAGGACCTGGATTTACTCTCACCTGGCAATATAATCATGAGCTGTAGACAGTGTCACAGAACCTCATAGAAGAGAGGAGTTAGTTCCTAATTTAAGGAAGGTTTCAAAGAAATGGTGGCATCAGGTGGGCATCAAAGGATTGTTCCAGTTAACTCTTGTGCACTCAAATCTTGCCTTCATCTCACCCACCAGAGTCTTTCAGTTGTATCACCATGTCCCCCAAAGAACAGACCATTGTCACGAATGACTCATTGATCCATACCTTAACTCTCTGCTCTTACCTGCACTTCATGGATGCCACACCTCATTGTCTGTTGAAAGGATGAACATGAGTATCAGAGAGACATTAAATCAACTTGGGTTGTTGGCAGACCAAATAAACAGATTCCATTCCACCCTTGTCTAGACTTGGGTAAAGAAAGTGCCCTAAAAATGCCACATAATTTTTTTTGGAATGTTATGGCTTCATGAATCATCTGGCTTAATTAGATTGGTGATTTTGTGTCCATTTTTATGTGACTGGGAGAAACAATATCTGACAAATTTACTGACCCAGAGAAAAACTTCTGGGAAAAAGTGCATGCTTCCTGGACACCAGCTCCAGCAAGCCATAATGCTGATTTTTCTGTTTCTAAATGATGTAATCATGACTGCAGATTTGGAAGTTTAAAATCTTCTCCTTTATTAAAACCTTTGGAGACAATGTTCGTAAGCTTTTAGTTTAATGTAAGTCATATTTAATCATGGGAATTTAATAGAGACAAAGGACAACTTCAGCTTCTCCAGAAGTCTGCTTTTTGGAAGCTTAGTTTCAGTAGTAGAATTGAGAATAAGGGGGTTAGGACTGAGACTTTCTGTTCTTGTTTCCTGAAATAATCACTTTAAGTCATAAATCACTTGCCATCACCTCCCTTTGTTTTAATCCTACAGCGACTTCTTACAAGAAAAATCTGAAGTTTTTTCTATGGCTTTCAAACCACTCCAGAATCTGCCCTTCTCGCTGCCTCTTCCCCTTGCTCACATTCTGGTCCAGCCACATGGCCTTCTTGCCAGGCCTGGAACTCCCCATGTGTGTTCCCATATCAGGGCCTTTGGATGAGCCCAACGTACTGGCAGCGTCACTCTTCCTCAGATACTTACAGAGCCCTCTCTTATTTTACTCAAATTTCCACTCAGTTCTGCTCAAACACCACGTCCACAGAGTACTTTCATCCTCGTAGTTTGAGCATAGTTTCATCAAGCACGATCCTTATTTCTCTGTGTTCCTACATAAGTCTGCTGTTTCTTCATAGCATATTTCATCATCTTACATCATGTCAGCACTATGGTACTACGTCTCTATGCGCACCGTCACTCTCTGATCAGAATGTCAGTTTCCTCTAACCAAATGGATTAGACCAAAATTGATAAATCAAAAGAGATTAAAGAAAATGGTATATTTTTATAAATCTCAAAATTGTAATATAATTATTACCATCTTTTGGGCCAATATACAACTATTGCAAGAGAAAAACCAGCAACTCAAATTAAAATACTATTGCTTTTAGAGCTAGAAAAACTCTCCTGAACAGCTAATGAACTTCTAGTATTCTTAAAAAGAACATTAAATACATTTAAAAAATGAATTGAGAAGCTGTTATAAACCAACAAAATATGATATTTTATACATTTGTGTGTACAATTGCAGTTATAAGTGTTACTTGCTTGTCTCTTAAATTTCAGTCTTTATAAAATTAGCTACCATTTTCATATTGGTTCTCCCTCTGAGGAATAAGTAGATGTGCTAATCTCAGCTGGTTACAGATTTTAATTTTATAATATTCCCAGATGTCTCTTAAAAGTAATCTTTGTGAAACATTTTGTATGGATGAGAGAAAACAGTGAAAGCCTACTTCAAATTCAGTTACTTAGATTCTCACTTTTTAATAAGGAAATTCTTGGGAGTGTGTGATATGTACTAGAAGTATCAGTAAAAGGGCAAATTTCCTAAGAGGTTTATTCAAAGTAAAACTAAAATTTTACATGTTAATATGTGAATAAATAAATAGGGGCTGAACTTTATAGTTTACTGACTTTTTTTAGGCAAGAGCTTATTTTGATCTGTTAACTTAGTTTATTTAATTTTTTGAGCCAAGACTAATGCCATATTACTGAGATTGCCCATGTAAAATGAAAGTATTAAAATGCGAATGTTGAAGCCCAGGGATAATTTGTGTGCCCGTTTACTTGAAGATGGTGGAGGGTGGTTTTATTAAAATAACACCTGTGTCTCTTAGAGATGAAAAGTCCATGCTACATGTCCCTGTGCAAGGAGCCCAAGTGTTTGTTTTTGCAGGGCAGGATTTCAGTGCTTACACTGCCTCAATTCAGTGAGGGGCTTCTGCAGCTCCAGCCTTCTTTGCTGGCTCCTCTGTCCACAGTTCACTGGTTGCAGGCTCAGGGCATTGGAAGGGGCCTCCCAAAAGACAGAGCAAGGGAGGCTGATTCCTTAACCTGGAGCATTCCAAATCCCTAGTTAGGGATGGCCTCAGGGGTCACCACCCAATAACATCCTAGCACTCTGAGCCTCTTGGAGTCAACTCTGTATGTATAAACCGGTCACAAAGCCTGGCCTTGAGTGGATGCTGAATGTATGTTTGCAGAATAAATAAGTCAGTGCAGGCACTGCCTGCCACCCCCCGTGCTCAGGGAGACTGGGGACGTACAAGGCCCAGCCAAAATGGAAATGCCACACTGCTGGCTTTGCTGTGGGTTGCCAAAATGTACAGGAGGCAGATGCTGTGTATATTGGGTTTAAAGACTATCCAGAGTCTTAAGTCTCCTTTCTTCTGGGCAGTGGCCCTTTCTGTTCCTTTCCAAAACTCAGTTTTGCTGTTGCTTTTCTACCAATGGTGGAACTTTGAGTGCACAGGATTCTATCACTTTCCCCCTTCTCTCTGTTTCCCACTGAATCCCACCACTGAACTGAAAAATGTTTGAGTCCTGTTTGCTGGGAGTTTCATAAGCAACTCTAGTTGTCTTCTAGGGGAGATGGGCATCGAGATATGCACACGCACATGTGTGTAACTTCCTCCAGAGCAAATAGATTTACATTTTATCTTGCAAAAGGATATATGGAAGCCCCCCTCTTACCCACCTCCCTTCCCCTTGTCTCTGTCTCTGTCTCTGCCCCCTGCCCACATGAAGGCAAGTGTGGGAGTGTACAAAGATTTCAGAAGTAAGTAGAAGATGAATAGGTTGGAGCATAAATTTTATTGTCTCTCAAATTTTCTTTGACTTGCTTTTCCAGGTTGACTTTGGGTTTGCTAAGAAAATAGGTTCTGGACAGAAAACTTGGACATTCTGTGGGACTCCAGAGTATGTAGCTCCTGAGGTCATTCTCAACAAAGGACATGACTTCAGTGTGGATTTTTGGTCCCTGGGAATTCTAGTGTATGAGCTCCTAACGGGCAAGTAAGTGTATACCTTCAACTTCTGTTTAGATTCCTCTTTAGAGATGTGCAAAAATAACTTGCTAATAATAAAAATATATCATTCAAGACTTTAACATTTTAGTATTATTGCTTGTTAAGTTGGTTGCTTTTCTACTTTACACTTTCAAATCTAGTGGTCTTGCAAGTTTATCACATGGAGAAAAGATTCTGGAAGTTGAACAAAAGGAATATAGGGTTACTATTTTACACAAAATAGCAAGATCCATTATTATAGATATCATATTAAGTATGGGAAGATTTTGATAATCCTGTGTAAAATAAGAGAGGATAAAGTTTGGAATGAATGTTTGGGGCTGTATTATTATTACTTTCTCTCTCTCTCTTTTAATAAATGAACAAAGCTCTTTTCCTAGATCAGTGAAATCATTGATCAATCAAACTAAATTTAGTTCTGTTTCCTCATCTTCCCAACATATCATTAACTAGAAACATGAAGAGAAAATATATTGCTGGATTTAAATTTTAATCCCCTGTTAACCCCTTTCTAGAGGTGCTAATGAACAGAAATAAGACATAAGCAGGGGATTGTAGCAGTTAAACTGAATTGCCATTCCCAAAGACATGAAAAGGCTATATGAATGAGTCCAGGGTCCATAATATTTAACACACACACATACACACACACACAAAATAGAAGCATTACCCACGTTTCTAAAACAGTTCACAAAGCACTTCTATGTGTGTTATCTAAATTAGTTTTCATGAATTTGTGTGGAAGATAAGGCAAGAATTTTTATTAATGTTTTATGATTTAAATTTTTATGGTTATTTTATGGTTTAAATTGCATGAGTTAGAAAGCCAGGTGAGCGGCTACCTGCCTAAGATCAAGAATCTGATATCAGATTTTCTGGCTGGAAATGTGACGCATTTTCCAGCACACATAGTGTGTTTTATGATCATCCTTATAACACTTTATAGCCAAATATTCTCAGCCTTAATGTCAGAGAGCGTTTGCATGTAGAATAATTTACAAAATACTGGAAAGTGTCCATTGATAGGGATGCATGTCTGGACACGTGTTTTAGAAAAAGACAGCTTCACAGACTCTTCTTAAATTTTGTTTTATTGTTGGAGATTGAAACAAGGGCCCCTAGCTTGTTAGACAAATGGTCTAACGCTCAGACCCAGCCCCCCCAAGCCTTGCTGAACTTTTTACACTGCAAATAGCAGTGTTAGAGCCGGTGGTTACATTCTATATGTTTGTTCACATGCAGTGGGCAAACAGAGATGAAAGATCATTTTATATTATTTATAATCATTTTCAAATATCTGTTACTTATGATTCTGAAGGAAAGAAGAGAAAACTTCCAGATAGTTGTTCAAGAGAAAAGTTATTTAAGGTTTTTGGCACAATGAATCTTATTTCAAGAATTTATTTCCTCATTTAGAAATTTCAGTGGCATTTTGAGAAATATAGGATGGATCCTGTAGGTAACGGGGAATATACATCTCCATCTTCAAAATGTGGAATAAATTATTATGAGCAGGAAAATAAAGTGAGGAAATAAGGAAGGAGAAAAATCTAACAACTTGGATTTGCTAAGGTGCCCTTGAGTATCATAAAGAAACTGGGAAATGATTTTTGCAATGTTCTCAGGGTAGGGCAGGAGAAAAGTTCATTTTAAATGCCTTGAACTCTATAAGGTACCAAGCATTGAGGAAACTGAAGGAAGAAGTAAGGAACAGAATAAAATAATATCATTGTATGTATATAACACATATGTATCATAGCAATGTTTTTCATTTCCTACCTTATTTTTTTACAGGTGAGATATAGATTATTGAAAAATTGCTGTATCTCCTTTGTTGCAAGTTTGTCCTTACTGGTAGGCCATCTTAGTATGGTATCAGCAGGTGACAAGCACAAGTGAAATGCAAGAGTGGTTAAAATCATCTTCCAATGTCAAAAATTAAATGACAGAACAGATATGAAAGTTTATAAAAACAAAGTAGGACATGAAATGAAATGTTATCCAACTTCAGCAGTCAGTTCACAATCTCTTTATTCGTCTTAGCAATATGTTCCTTGAAATATTCTCTTACAGTGTCTTCTAGGACCTTCTTCTCTCTTCTTATCCCACACATGTGGCATTTTCTCAGTCTTCATTGCTAGAATATGCTCATCTTCCTGATATTTCCACATTGGATCACTTCAGTCCTAGACCTCTTTTCAATCTACCACTCCTTGGGTTATATCAAGTCCCGTGGCTATAAGTACTATCTGATGTACATAAGTACAATTATACTTCCACCCCTAAATTCTTCCCTAAATGCAGCTGCTGTTTGGCATCTCCATATGGATGTTCAAAACATAATTTTGAATTCCCTTCCCTATAACTTGCTCTGCACTTCTACTGTATTAGTTAGTTTTCTCTTGCTGTGAAGAACTACCTGAGATGAACAACTTCTGGGAAAGAAAGGTTTATTGTGACTAACAATTTCAGAGGTTCAGTCCATGGTCACACAGCCATATTGCTTTGGGCCTGTTGTAGAACAGTATACCTTGGCAATAGCATGCAGTACAGGAGGCCTATTTACTTATGGTGTCTGGAAGGAGGAAGGGAGGAAAGGAGAGGGGAAAAGAGAGAGATCCCCCTACTCAAGAGTTCCTGTGAAACTAAGCCACTTCTAAGGTTCTAGCACCTCCTAATTGTGCCACAGACTGGTGACCAAGCCTTTACCACACAGGCCTGAGGGGCCATTCCATATCCAAAAGCAATCATGTCCACCGCTGTCTTTCTCGTGATGGTAACTCCATTCTATAGTTATCCAGGTCCAAATACTTGAATCCTCTTCTTCTCTCACGTACCATGTTCATCCCCTTAGCACATCCTATTGACTTTACCATTTGTCATAGCTGAGGTTGCTTTTGGGTGATTTGAGCAGAAAACATATATTTCTTGCAGTTTGGGGGGATGGCAGTCCAAGATCAGGGCACCTGGTGAGAACTCTGCTCCAACACACAAACTTCTTGTTTGACCTTCATGTGGTAGAAAGACGGCCAGTCAGCATTCTGACTTCTGCTTACAAGGACACTAATCTCGTGACCTAATGAATTACTTTCCATAGTACCCGCCTCTAAATACCACCACAATGAAATTTGAGTTTCACACTTAAGAATTTGAAGGGACACAGATGATCAGTGTATTTCAAAGTCTGGCTAGAACGAGAATCCAGACACACATCACCGCTTTCCCACCGTCAGCTCTACTCTCCTCCTCCAGGCTCCCAAGCCTTCTGCTGACTCCCCCATCACAGTTTATTCTCTGTCCTTTAAAAAGCTGATTCTGGTTGCTATAAACTAAATTGCTGACTCAGAATACTTCCTGAAGCCGTACCACAGCCCACTGCGTATATGACGTTGGGGTGTTGCTGACACCCTCTCGGCTTACTCACTCCCTGCGCTCCTCTGCCCCCTCGAGCAACCTACGATGCCAGATTGTGCTGCCCAGCCCTGATGCACAGCCTCCAGACTTCCTGTCTCCGAGCCTCTGCCCACAGACAGCTGGTGGCTCATCCGTGTGGTCTCTGAGTTTCTGCACTAGCACCTCTGCTCCACCGTCAGTGCAGGAGAGTGGCTTTTCCTGTTCGACGCATGGAAAGAAGAATCGCTCTCTGTACCTCCTTAGTTTTTTTCTTAGTGACCATGGCCACCTGACAAATCACCTGTGTGTGTGATTAAAGTGATGGGAGATTAATGAAATGACTTCCTGGTACACATCTGAATTCATTGTAAAATAACTAATGAGAAAGAGGAGGAGAAGGAAAAGAAGAATGGAAGGAGATGAGAAAATAGAAAGGGAAAAAAGAGAATTCTGCAAGTGTCTCAGACTCTGGTCTTAGTGTATTTTCTTTGCTCTGTGCTCCAGCCCGCCCTTTTCTGGGATTGACCAAATGATGACCTACAATTTAATTCTCAAAGGAATTGAGAAAATGGATTTTCCCAGAAAGGTAACAAGACGACCTGAGGATTTGATTCGGAGACTTTGCAGGTGAGAATGACAATTAGTGACCCCTTGGTTTGTTTGGACAGAGCATAAAGGCTCCAGATTGTTTCTGAACATTTTAAAATTAAGTATATGTCTAACATATTTTCCTGTGTAGCCAAATTGTATTTAAATAAAGGCATTTTCTGTTTTGTATTATAAGGAGCTTGAGTTTACACAATCACAATGCCTACTTAAACTTTAAAGAGATGTAAATTAGGTCAAGGATATAACTCAGTGGCACAAGCCCATGCTTGGCAAGCACAAAGTCCTGAGTTCGATTCATGATACCAAAGGAAAAAGATAGAGAGATATAAATTTTACAAGTTATTTCAGGAATCATCTTTATTGGTTAGAACCATGGTGGCACACTCCTATAATCCCAGCCCTTGGGAGGCTGAGGCAAGAGCATCACCATGAGTTTGAGGCCAGCCTGGGATACATAGTGAGTTAACGGCCAGCCTGCACTTCATACTGAGACCCTGTTTCCAAAAACAAAACAAAACAAAACAAAACAACAAAAAAATCCCCACAAAACAAACTTAGGTTAAAACTATAATCCCATTAGTTTGAGAGAAAATGGTAAAATATTACTGAATGCCCTCTTTCAATCTTTATTTTTTTAAAAGTATTTTTCAGGTCTTATATTATTCCAGTTTTTTTACTGCTAAAAATCATGTATCAGAAAATAGGAGACTGCCAAATTCTTTGCTAAGTTTATTTTGCTGCTGCTTTTTCTCCCCAGATTTCAAACTTTTATAAACCATTAAAATTTAGTAAATTTAGAAAGTAAAACCTGACTATAGAGAGCTGTAGGAATTCCCTCATGCTTCTAAAATTTCAGTCTAGATGTGAATGATTCTCTAAAGCTTTCCCTGGTTTTCTCAATAGTTAACAAGATAGTACTTTTAAAGCATTTATTCATAGCTTATTTAAAAATGTGGACCACATCTTTTTCAACTCCCCATACTCAGTTGTCTGATCTACAGTAGGAACTGCTTGCATGTGAAATGAGTGAATTAATAAATAAACATTATATTTTAATTTAAAATTTACTCAAATATAATTGCCTTTTAAAAATTATTATTTCAGGCAAAATCCAACAGAAAGGCTCGGAAATCTGAAGAATGGAATCAATGACATTAAGAAACACAGGTACACGGTTACTTCTTTGTCCAGAAAAATACAGAAATTTAGAGAATAATGTGGTAGTCATGACAGCTGCTCTAAGTGGGCCACAAGGTTCTCTTTAGAGACTTTAAATTTTTCTTCTCTAGTGCTTTGACTTTGTTATTAGTAGAATTCTTGATGATAGCCATTCTTTCTGGAGTGAGATGGAATCTCAGTGCTGTTTTAATTTGCATCTCTTGAATGTTGAATATTTTTTTCATATATTTATTTGGTACCTGATAAATAAGTAAGCAGGTTCTTTCTCTGAGAAATGGGTATTCATCTCAGATGCCCATTTGTGCACTGGGTTTTTAAATTTGGTAGGTCAGATTTTTTTCAATTCTTTATATGTCCTCTCTGATTTGACCAAGTCCTTTGTCTGAGGGACAATTGGCTAAAACTTTTTCCCACTCTGTGGGTTGCCTTTTCACTCTGTTGGTGATTTCTTTTGATGTGCAAAAGATTTTTTACTAAGATGAGATCAAAGTTGTTGACATTTTGAAGTATTTCCCATGCAGTCTGGGTTTTGTTCATGAAGTCTGCCTACACCTATATCTTCAAGATTTCTACCTACTTTCTCTTCTAGTAAATGTTTTGTTTCTGTTTCTATATTTAGATCTTTGATCCATTTTGATTTTAGTGTAATGCATGGTGATAGACATTGGTCTAGTTTTAGTTTTTGGCATGTGGAAAGCCAGTTTTACCAGCACCATTTATTGAAGAGGCTATCTTTCTTCCAATGACTATGTTTGGCCCCTTTGTTAAAGATAAGGTGGTTGAGTATGTTTGGTGCTGGATCTCCATGTTCTAATCTGTTCCCCGGATCCGCAGGTCTGGTTTTTGTTTTGCCAGTACCATGCTGATTTTATCACAGTAGTTTTGTAGTATAATTTCAAGTCAGGGATTGTGATGTCCCCCCCACCTTGTCTTTGTTGCTTAGAGATCTCATTTGACCTAGTTATTCCCCTTCTGGATATTTTCCCAGAAGAATTAAAAACATCATATCACAGCAATATGTGTGCACCCACATTTATAGCAGCAAAATTTGTAATAGCTAAATCCTGGAACAAACCCAAATGCCCATCAATTGAGGTGTGGTTAAAAAAAATGTGGTATGTTTATACAATGGGGTATTACTCAACCATAAAGAAGGATAAACTTAAGAGTTTTATAGGTAAATGGATGCACCTTGAGACCGTACACATAAGTGAAATAAATCAGACTCACAAGTGTAAGTATCGTATTGTCTCCCTGGTATAAGGAACTGAAAGAGTAAGTAAGGTCAAAAATTGGGAGAAATTGATCAAAAAGAAAAATGAACTAGGATTGGGGAAAGGGGAAAGGAAGGAAGGGAAAAGGAAAAAAGCAAAATACAAAGTAGTTATGCTACAGTTTCTCTTCATTGAAAAGAAAGGTTTGTGCTAATATTATTTGGAGAATTTTTTATGCCCATGCACTATGCTCTGATTAACTACTATAGGGTAATGATACTCAGTGCTTTAACTATTGTTATTCTATTATTTTGTTATGAAATTTTGATTTACTTTTTTCCATAAAATAAAAAAAAATTATAATTTCTTTGAATAGGTGAAGTACATTGATTTACACAAAATCTCAAACAAAGATTTATTATTATGCAGTAACCTAACAGACCCCTTTTCAGTTTTGTAAATTTCTAAAAACAATCTTCAGAACCACTGGTTACTTCTTAAGACATCCTCTCTGCTTTAATTGAGTATTCAAATATGACCCTTCAGCTATGCAAGATTTCTGTTTTCCAAGTCAGTACCTGCCTAAGTCCTACAGTCCTCAATAAGTTTTCATTTTCATTTTGCCCACAAATTATAGAAAATATCATGTATAAGAATACATTGATGATAGAACAAATAAATTTGAATATTTCATTATTGAAAACTTTACAAACCACTGATGTGATCACATTTAGAAATGTATAAAACCCTCAATATTTTGTTCCACTACAGATTCTTTTCTTTTTTTTTTTTTGGTGCTGGGATTGAGTCATGCTAACTATGTGCCCTGGCTCTGAGCTCCACCCCGTCTTCTACTGATGTTTCCACAGAGGTCTTAGAGGTACATTGACATGGTGTAAAAATAGAGAGAGATATAGCTGCCAAATAGAAACACTATTTATTTTCCTTAATAGTAGCGGTACAGCTTTAAAAAAGAAAAAAATTCTCCGAGTTGCCAGCTCTGCTCTTATGTATTCATGAACTTGAAATAAAGCCACGCATTCAACACTGAAAATGCCTATCGAGCTCTGCTTCAAGGCTGTACTAGGAAGAAAGGGAGGGTGGGAGAGAAAATGGGGAGAGATAAAACAGACGCATCTGTGGAGTTTATAGACATCAAAATGCTTGTTGTATTTGAATGTTCATTGTCAGTCCTCTGGATTGCCTTCAATTGTGAAGCTCATTATTTGTCTTAGATTCCAATTTATCTTCCTCCTGCACAACCATTATCACTGCTTTTCTCATTACAGAATAACACACAAACACACCATTTATATGGAGGAAACAAGTGTCCCATCAATTAAAGTGATTCTTCCAATATCTGTTCCCCTTTTCCCTCATTGAGAAGTCTGCCTGATGTTTTGCACCGGGCTAGTTGGGAAACAAGCGATATAATTGTTAACAGCCTCCAGCTTTATCTTTTCTTTATTTACTTGAGGCTCATTTAAATGTAGCTGTCAAAATGTGATGGGATGCACTTGCAAACAGATGCTAAAGAATTTCCTCACCAGAGCATGGGAATAAACAATTTTGAATTTCCTTCCCTGTAGGGATTAATTTGCTTGTTCTTCTTAATAATTCATTTCAGGCAGGAGTGTCTTTGCTGTGTGTTGCTGAAGAATCGGAGTGTAACATGCAGGGTAGCGTTGACTATTAAGAAATATCAGAGGTACACAGTACTTTCTTGTGGGCCCAGAGAGTTTGTTGTGTCAGGATGTCCCTCATGTGGTCATAGGGTTTTTTCTTTGGAGGTAGCTGAATCTAGAGTGTGTGATTGATTCATAGTGTAATACTGGGATTAAAGATACTGGGATTAAGCCTGGGCGATTGGTGGATCAGTCCGTGGATTGGATTGACACAGCTATAATCTCAGTAGATTAGATACAATATAAGGGACAGAAAGAGGTTGGTCTGTCTGGCTTTTTCCTTTTGCTCTCTGTTGCCCACTATGAATTGTTCTCCTTTGTGAAATCACCCTGCCTTGGAGCCAGCCAATTCTGGACTGAAAGCTCTACAAACTGTAAGCCAAATAAACCTTTGCCTCTTTAACTTTGAGTGTAGGATATCTTGTCTCAGCGATAAGAAAAGAAACTAAGACAGAGCTCAACATAATTTCATTCTATTTTTCTATTTTCATGATGCCTTTTAAACTATATAGATAGGGAGGAACCCCAGAAAAATTGATCTTTCCTTCTCTTTCCAAATAGAAGTGTTTTATCCAAAAGAAAGAAAAAGAAGAGAACAACAAAAAACAAATAGAAGTGTTTTTAAACTTTCTGTAAATTCCCAGGCCTACAGCTATTCTGCTCAGTATATTCTTGGAATTAAAAAAAAGAATCTTTCTAAAGTTTGGTGTTAGATTTCCTTACTTTTCTCTAAAATAAAATTTTGTTTTCTTAGAGAACTATTCACTTTAGCTTTATATTTAAAAACAGTACAGTTAAATACAACAGATTGTAATATAGATTTGTATTAAATCATGTTTTCTAAACAATAATTTCCTTTTCCCCATTTTTATAACCTAAGTTATAAACTAGGCCAATCATGTCTCCCAACATCTATTTTAAAAGACTGTGAATAAACATGTAGGGCACAATTAAACCTTTTCTGATAGAAAAAGGAATAATTTGTTTCAAGTATTTTAACATTACTTTTACTTTCAAGAATAGCTTCTAAAATCCTCTACAAACAAAGAAGCAATTTATGTGCTGTTGATGCTAGTATTTCTTTGGTGGATGTTTTTCAGAGACCAATGCATGCTGGCACTTGCATAACTTAAAATGTGGTCAGTGTCAAAAGACCAAGTACTAAGTGAATGGCCACTCATGTTAAGTAAATATTGCCATAAGTCAAACTGTAACAAGTACTCTGTAAGAAATGCGCAGGCTTTTTGATTCAGTAGAATAAGGGGAATGACTTTTATTAGTATTTATGGAGTACTTTCTGGTAGAGAAATTGTAAAATATGTTAAGAGGAACTGTTGCTGTGTTTGGAGGCAAAAGTAAAGAATCCATAGAACTATGTACCTAGAAATCCCTAAAAATGAAGCCTCAGGCTCTGTGGAGACGTGCTGGGTGGATCAAGGAAAGAACTGTGGTTTCACAACGAGGGCAGCAGAGGGAAAGGAAACAGCCAGGATTGCTGCCTGACTCACTTTTTGACGAGAATTCCAGCAGCTTTTACTAAAATGGCACCTGAGATGGAATGTTCTAGAACTTTTCCCCTCTGTTTTCAGTTTCTTTTCTATTGCTAAACTTAGACTTGGATTAGGAGGTTCAGTCAAGGAGTGAACCACAGCCAGCTCTGGGGTGAGAAGAAACTGGTAACTCAGGTAAGAAGAGACTGGAAGACAGTAACTCTGGTGTGGCTGACAGAAGGATGAGACAGCCTCCTTAATTGGCTGTACCTCAAGTCTTATCCCCACCACCATCACCAACCTGACCACCCTGGCCCCTTCTGGTTATTCTCTACATGGCCAGAAGTACCTTTTGGAAATAGGATTGTATCATTTCTTTAGAGCTTTGTAATGGCTTCCCATCACACTAAAAATCCTGCCTTCTTACTATACCGTAAACACAATATAATGTGATCTGGTCTCTGACATTTTCAGATCTTTAAAAATTGTATTTTCATAGTTTTCACTGTGTTCACCACAGCTCAGCTCATCCCTGCCACATCCTTCCACCTAGAAGGCCCTCCCGACAGACCTTCCACGGTTTTATCTTCTTCATTTTGGCCTCCAAAGATCACTTTTTAAACACTGCCCTATCTAAAAGCAGCCCCTCCCATTATTCTCATTCCAGAATCATCTGTCACTTTATTCTCTTTTATCTTCCTAGTACTTTTGAGTATCTTAAATATTTGCATTTTTTACTTGTTTTTCTTTGGTTCTTTGGTTACCTCCCACCAAAATAAAAACATTTTAAAAGTAAGGTCTTTGTCTTTTTTGATACCAAAAAAAGGGGATCATATTGATTTTCCATAAATATTCTTCGGCTGGTTAAGCTGACCTCAGTATCCCAGTGCAAAGATCAATGTGGAGTATTATTCCATGTTCTTTATGAGATCCTAAGAGATAGAGTAGATTGTGTCCAAGAGAAGCTAGAGAAGCTCACACTTCTGGTGGTGTATTCCAGCCCACCAAGCTTGGTATACATGCTAATGTCAAATGTAGCCCTTCTAGATTAACAATACAGAAGAAATAAATGGAAGGACTTCACCTGACTATCAGCTTCCTCTCATATTTTCACTGTGAACTTCTTTGTTATATCGGAACTTCTGAGATCCATGTCACCAAGGCCATCACTGTCATGAGAGTGTGATGCTTGTCGGACAGTGTGATGTAGGAGTCCTGGGTAAGGTGTTCTGTTGTAGTTATTTTGTCATTCACCAAACAGTACTGAGCTCTAGTCTGTACCAAGCACTGGCTCCAGTGTTAGAAGCAGTAAAGGAAAAGAAGGAGATGAGAACCCCTGCTTGCACAGAGTTTGTGTCCTTGTGGAGGAGACAGCCAAGTCAGGTAGTTATCAGACAGCAGTAAATGTTAACCAGGGAAAGTAAGCAGAGAGGAAGAGGAAGAATGGGGGCAGGGTGGGTGAGAGGGCTTACAATTTTAGGCCGGATAGCTAAAGAGTGCTTCCAGTCAAGAGGCTAACCATGTGGAAATCTGCAGGAAGAATAATCCAGCCTTGAGGCAGCAGCATCGTTAGCTTGTTGAAAGAGTGGAGAGGAGATAGGAGTGAGCAAGGGGGACAGAAAAGCAGGCCATGGGTAAAGGAGTGGAAGGGTAGGGGTATAAATGGTATTTTGTGCGGTCTTGCAGGCTAAAGTAAGGATGTGACAAAGACCTCTCCTTTCATACTGAGTGAGGTGGGAAGCACAGTGGTGGTGGTTGGTGGGGGGGACTTGGGACAAAGTCGTGGTGTGATGTAACTTGTGTTAAGTGATCATGCTTGCAGCTGGATGGTTTTCCAAGGACAAAAGCATAGCTTCCCCTATTCCAGTAGACTGAAGGTTTTGAGCACTGTCAGATTTGGAATACAGGTACTGTATGCTCTGAAGGTGGCATTACCAAGCAAGTGAGAGAAAGAATAATTTACAAATGCTTATTAATGTGAGAGAAAGAGTAACTCCAATGTTGTTGCTTTGAACAACTGGAAGGTTTGAAGCAAGTCTGGTGGGGGAAATTTGGAGCTCCAATTTGAACTTGATATATGCTAGTTGCCGGTTAGAGATCTAGTTGGGAGATACTGAATAGCAACTGTAGATAGTGGCCCATTAATTGAATACAGAGGTGGAGTCTTGGCTGGAAATTGAAGTTAGGGATAATCATTAGATTAACAATCAAATGATGTTTAATGCCAGGAGACTGAATGAGGCTACCTGGGAAATGAGAGTAGTTGAAAAGAGTAGAGGTCCAGGGAGCCCTGGCGTACACCAACTTCACAGGATGAGAGACAGACTCAAGAAGATAAGAAGAGGGCCTGGACAGTCATGTGTTCTGGAAAGGAAAAGAAGTAAATGAAAGTTCTGTGATGTGTAGCCAAGTGGAGAAAGAATTTCAGAAAGTGTGACTGATTAATTGTGGCAAATGCTATACTAGTAGATCAGGTAAAGTAAAAACTGAAAATCCAGGTAACTCACTGGAGTGGAGGGAATGAAACTTGCTGTGGTGTGTTCCAGAGACAAGGGGAGGGGAAAGTGATTAAATGACTCTCTCAAGGAGTCTCCTCCAACAGAAGGGGAGAAGTAGACTGGAAGTTGGAAGGGAATGCAGCTTAAAGGAAGGTGCTTGGTTCTACGAAAAATGTGCTTCCACTGATGAGAACGAGCTAGCAGGGAAAAAGACTCAGGAGAGATGAGAACTGCAGGAGAGGAGGCGATGAGGTCAAGTGCACAGTAGAGGAACTGTTTTTAGGTAGAACCAAAGACACTTCATTTTAATTAATGGTGCAAGAGAGAAGGTGTCACAGATAAGGGTAGCTGGGTGGATATGCTGGAGGGAAGTGATGGAGGTGTTCTCTTTGTTTTTGCTTCAGTTTTCTCAGAAAAATAAGAAACAAGGACATCAGGAAGATGAGTGGAAGGTTCTGGAAGCTTGGAGAGAGAACAAAGTATGAATTAAGGGAATATGTGAAGTCAAGGGAATATGAGAGGGGAAGGTAGGATAGTGCTAGTGGGCGTGAAGCGCTCACCTGAGCTTAGTTGGCATGGATGTCATGTGAGCCCAACAGACACCCAGCACGGTGGCATTTGTGGCTCTGCTGTTGCAGGCAGGAAGCAGGCAACAAAATGGACTGACCGACACCTCCACATGCTAATGGTTTATTAGATAAGTAACATTCCCCTGTACTTCTCTCATTTTTCAGGTGGCTAAATGGTTTCAATTGGGAGGGACTGAAAGCTCGGAATCTTCCCTCACCATTACGAAGAGAGGTATGGTATTTACTGTAACAATTTCTTCATTTCTTTTGGGTATTTCTTTTGTAAACTGATTTTAATGGTGAGTGTGTGTCTTAGTTACTTTTCTCATTGCTGAGACAAAATGCCCAGCACCCACAAGTTAAGGGAGGAAAGGTTTGTTTAGCTCACAGTTTGTAGAGGTTTCAGTCCATAATCAGCTGGCTCCAAAGCAAGGTGGCACATGGCAGAGGGGTATCACAGAGGAGTTCATGGTAGGCAGAAGACACCAACAGCAGCAAGTTACAAGTGACCAGCAACAAGCAAGGACCCTCTTGGTGTCCCTTACATCTTATCCAGGCTACCCACTCTTAAGGCAGGTAGCAATCACACCCTTAATCCTAGTATCACACTGTGAATCAATCCTAGCATCACATTGCTGCCAGCACCATACACCATAGATCCAGCCACCTCTGAAAAGCCTCACCTATGACCACGTGAGGTTTTGGAAGGACATCTAGACACAAGCCATAACAGTGTGCTTGCTTGCTTGCTTGCGTGTGTGTGTGTGTGTGTGTGTGTGTGTATGTGCATGCATGTGCACCCACGTGCATGCATATATGCATAACAGATTTTACATGGTTTTTTAGAATGGGTATTTAAAAAATTAATTGAAAATTTCATAGTAATTTTGATTTTAGAGACTAAATAGTGTTGCCTATCCGATGATGTTTGGCCCACCTCTCTGGAACTAATTACCCATCTATAGCACCTAAATCCCAAGGTAGTCAGTGTTGGCCAGGATGACAAATGAAGTATCATTTATTAACTGCTTTTAGAAATCTGTAATGTATTAGTGCTGTGTGACACTGCATGCTATTACAATGTAATTGTAAATGAATCCAAAGAAATATTTGTGTTAGCAGAAATATTTATTGCCACATATGCTAAAAGAATTTCAAAGAGTAAAATTTAAGGCACTTGAGGAATGATCAAAAAGGATTGTCAAGCATAAAACTATTTTACATTAAGACGAATTTTATGGGGAAAATGGGAAGGAAGTAGAGGGAGAAAAGGGAGTGATGCAATGTTTCTTTTTTTAAAGTGACTGATGGGAATCAAATCTCAATGATATTTAGACATTTAAAAGGGTAAAGTAACTGTAATATTTTATTTTAACATGTCAGTGTTTACACTATACTAGAATTCTCCACAACTATTTAAACTTTAATGAAAACTTCAAGCTACAAACATGCAAGGAGAGAGGTCTCTTTCAGAGATAACAATAGCATAAAGTTGGTGGACTGTTGACCTGGGTACTTCCTGAGTCACTCTTTCCCCAAGTCAGCCTGTGCTCGCCTTTGTCCAGAGATTGGGTCCAGTTGATGACTGGCCACACATGGCTACATGATTGTCCACTCCAGAATGATTCCTCCCTGTCCTCCCACTGTGCACACAGTCATATATCATAAATCTATTTTTAATCATTTTTTTACCTGAGTATTCAGTCTGGTACTATGTCATTAATTATGCTTGAAAGCAAAAATTTGGAAAACTGCCATATTGAAAAGTAATTTATTTCCAGTCATTACTTTTCAATTCAGGAAGTTTCCAAATTTTTGCTTTCAAGCATAATTAAAAATTAGAGATTGGTGAGAAGCGTTACAGTGTGGAAGAGCTCCTCTGGCAAATTTTGATTTTTAAAAAATATTTGCCTTAAAATATTTTCTACCTTGATTAAAACATAGATAATCCTTTCTGTTACCCTTTCTTGAGGAAGTAACTCCTCAGGCCAGGTGGCTCTCCATGAGCGTAATCCACTGTCTGAATCACTTGGTTCGAAAGGGAGGCTCAAGGACACAGAGACTGACTCAGTAGTGACACCTGGGTACCTTTTTCTTGTACATTGTTTAAAAGTAGTTAGAGTAGGAAAGCGGTGTGCAGCTCGAAAAAACATTACCCGGGCGCAGAAGCCTGCTTATTCAACATTATCCTTACCTTTATCTTAATCTTTTCTGTATTAGCTCAGCGGACCCATAGATCACAGCTACTTTGACAAATATCCTCCTGAAAAGGGAGTGCCTCCGGACGAGCTGTCAGGTTGGGATAAAGACTTCTGATGGAAGAAAAGATGGTTTCTGCTGAGACACCACAGAAGACTATAAGGATCAGTAATCCAACCCTGATTTTTTCTCGCTTCAAAGTATTATAAGATCTTTTGGAAGACTATTAGTGAGAAGAAATCTCTGCACCAGAGGTGGAGGAAAGTGGTACAGATGGGGCTCTGAATTATAAGGTCTTGCTTGGGATGCTATGAATTATTCCTGTATTCCATCCTACGCATGTATCAAATGTGGAAGGATACATCCTTTACCTTTCAACCATCAGAAACATTTTTGTTGAAATGGCATAGTTTCTCTTTGTTGAAACCTATCGCTTCTTCTCATAGTTTTTCCCTTTGAAATCTGACAAAGCTTAACAAGTGTCTCGACTTCTGAGCAAGTAAATCATTGAAAGTGAAGGAAGAATACAGTGAATTTTGGAAGGTTTCCCCCACACTCAATAATTCCATGTGTGCATTGTGACTTCATAACACGGGGGTTTGCAGAAATCTTGGTAATCAATAGAAACTCTTGACTTTCATCAGCTTTTAACCTAGACACATATGAATATGCTTCTGATGCTAGTCTGGGAAAAGGCAGGTTTGAGTATTACAGAGTGATACTTTTTCCTATAGAAAATGAACCAATTAATCTAACTGAGTAATTATATTCTATTGGGGAACTTAGAAAAAATAAAGCAAAAACAATCTTTCTTTCTCCTGTGACTGCTGTGATACCTCAGAAAATTTTTCATAAGCCTTGTTAAAAGTGATTATAATGTATGGTTAAATTATGGGTTCCAAATAAATAATAAATTCAAAGGGTTTTATTTTGGGTACTAAAATATTTCTCTATCAAAGTAGAAAATATACTTGAGCAAAATTGTGAAGACTTCTCCTTCTCTTTAAAGATAAAGAGAATAAAATCTATTAAGGTTGTGGACTCTTTGAGATAATTTTAGCCAATTTTGATTATTGCTCCCCAAATGACCCCCATGAATTATGAATGAGAAGCCCATTGGGAAATGTTAATCCACTGTGCTCACTGTCGAGTATAGCTCTTTTTAAAGATATCTGAGTCATGGATATGTTTATAATTTTAACACATGCCATTGGAGAACTGTTAAGATTTTAGACATGCACCTAGCATCTGACCTCTTCCTTGTCCTCCTGGCAATCTTCTAGACAGTAGTAGGGTACTCTTCAATAGTGCTGGATACCAGTACCTAAGAATTTGACTAGTGAATATTTTCATGTGTTGCCATGGTCACTCTCCTACCCTCCTTCCACAGTACGTGGGAAGCAGAGCTTTCTCTGTGTGTTTTAATCTGACAGTAGCACAATCTAAATTCTAGAATTATTCAAGTTTCCGGTTATATTTTTATATGATAATGGTCTATTGAAAAGCAATCTCTACCCCCTCCATGCGCATATTTTCATCATTCAGAGAGTCAACTGTAAGCTTCCTGAAGTCTTGAAGCGGACAAGTGAAGCCCACATTGAGACAGTACACCCTTAATAAACGAATTTCCACATTGAGAGTCCTTTTGCTGAACCAAAGAGATTTTGTTCTTGGAGTAGTATTTTTAAAGATTATGTATTGTACATAGAAGAATCATTTTTAATAGGACTGACATAACCTGCTTAAAGAATTTCTAAACTTTATAAAATATTTTATTTGCATTTTGTTTGTATGTACTATATGTTTTCCATGTATATATTTTAGCATTACCAACATATACAGGTAAAAAATTTATGTATTAGATGGATATTAGAACTGTACATATATAATTGCAATGATAATCTCAGAAGGGATCAATAGTTATAATTTTTAAAACTACGTATATAGAGATAAAAACCAATTTAGAATACTACAGGCGTACTTTGCCTGTGATTAACCACATCATATGAAATCTCCAAATGTGATTTTATTGTTTCTTTTAGAGTACCTTATAAAGATGAAATATAAGTGCTTGGCCCATTATATAATCCCAGCTCTACTATTTCCTACCTAGGAAAATGATATACTTTTTGAGTACTAGCTATCTCACTTGTAGAAAAAGGCACAATGAAGTAATATCTACTTTGAAAATTTGCTCTGGCCATTATAAAAAATCATGCAGAGAGTCTTTTGTCTAGTATCTGAAATAACCAATGCTGCACAGATGGGGGCTACTGTTTTATCTCTGTTAAAATTCAAGAGGCCTTACTGACCGTTTAGTTCTGAACCTATGTATCATTGGTGTCTGTATCACAGTTGTACCAATTAAATCAGTCTCTGTCCTTTCTTTGTGTGAAGTCTGCAAGTAAAGATGGTTGATCAAACATCAGTGTATAAAATGAGGGGTTAATCCTCAACAAAATGAAATGTGTTTTTAAACTAACCTAAACACTAATTTTTACAAATTGAACACACACAGGAAATACATAAAATTATCCTGAGCTGTGTAAATTTATAATATTCCTAATAATTAAGTCATTCCTAATCTCTCTTCTCTAAGATGGAAGGTTAATTATTCATTCTTGAGCTTCTTCTAGGTGGGAACAGCTTTTCATAATTATGGTTTTTAAATTTTTTCTCAAAATATTAATATGTCTAGAGGGATGAGAATGTAATAAAGAAAAATAAGAGATTAATAGTAAAAACTGATTTGTGTTTGAATTCTAGCTCATCCCAGATTTGCATGATTTTGATCAATAAAACACATCTTTATTATTTGTAATTTGAAAATATACATTTAGAGTTTTGAAATAATGAGCCAGAATATTATTACTAATATGTCACTGTAATCATCATTTGAAAAGTTATATGCACGTACATTGCTTTTGGCATAAGTTTTTTCATTGCAGGCGCCAGGAACACTTGTGTTCATGGTCTCATTCATACAAAATTTTAAATTAACCCAAAGCTAAATACTGGCCACAAATATGCATCTCACTCACAATTTAAACATGTTTTTTGTGTGGTTTAGTCTTAGTTACAATAACTGTTACCCCAAAATTTGCACCCCAAATTTAGTTAAAACAGCCAGTTGTTATTTTCCTAGATGCTGTGAGTCAGGAACTCAGGCAATACATAGCAAAGACACTTTGTCTCTATGTCACAGTATCTGGGGCATCAGGTGGGAACACTTAAAGAGGGACAGTGACTCTTGGCTGGGGCTTGGAATGGCTGCCAGCCTTGTTCATTTGTGTACTCATCAGCTTTCTCATTGCTGAGCCACAGCTCCTGACACCTGCAACTTAAAAGAGGAGAGGTTTGCTTTGGTTCAGGGAGTTCAGTCCATGGTGAACTGGCCCCAAGGCAGAAGCACCATGGTGGAAGGGCATGGAGGAGCAAAGCTGCTTTACTTATGGTGGCTGGAAGCAGAGCAAGGAAACAGTGCCAGAGTGGAAGGTGCCAGGGACCATATATAGTAGCTAGAATCACACTTCCACGACCCTCACAGAAGGGTGTCTAAGTGCTCTGCAAGGTATCTCCTAATCCAGTAAGTTTACATGTCACAATTAATAGTCACAACTCACAGGTTTTGTGCCTAATCTGAGACTACTCAGGATGAGGGCTGTGGACTGGGCTGCCTACACATGTTCTCTCCATGGCTTGGATTTCACATATAATGGCATCCTTCAGATAGATCCTTTTATGGCAGCATAAGGCTCCCACAGTGAATATGCTCATTAATAAAGACAGGAGCACTATCCTGGATGAACCTTTGAAGTCACATAACTTCTTCCATATGCTACTGGTGGAGACACAGGCCCACCCAGAATGGAGAGGGAACATAAGTGTAACTGCTTAGTGGAGAGGGTCTCAAAGAATTTACAAGCAAGTTTTTTT